GAGAGAGAGAGAGACTGGTCCAAGGTCACAGAGGGTGTCAGAGATTGGAACAAGATAGGCATCTCAGTGCCCCACCCCACTGCCACCCTGTCCACCTTAACCTGCTCTTGCCCCTCCCCAAATCCTGGGAGAATTGTTCTGTTGAATAACATTTAGCATCTTGTGACAAAGGAGGCAGGCGATGCATAAACAATGCCACCAGCAATAATAATAATAATAATAATAATAATAATAAACATTTTTCATGCTAGACGCCATGCAAACCAGTTTGTGTGCATTGGTCCCTGATTTCGACTCGATGCTGTATGACTTAACCCCTATTAGCAAACTCTCAACCTAGAGCTCTTCCTCTTCATGTTAAGTAACTTGGCCAAGGTCACACAGCTAAGGAAGAGTCTGGCTTGGGAGTCATGGCTCTCGGGTTCTAGGTGCTGTTCTGCCACTGGTTGACTTGCTGGTTAACTGGGGAGTGTGACATAGGTTACTTCAGAGTCTGTTCTCTTATCTGTGCATGGAAAGAGTTTTCTTTTCCAAGTTTTTCTACTTGTCTCTCTCACAGAGATGGGCCACCCACCAAGCCATCCAGGAAAGCAGGTGCAGGCCAGCTCCTGGTCACCTGCTCCCTGGTCTCAATGCCTCCTGGGACAGGAAACTCCTTGGAAGAAGGGGGCAGATCACAGCCATTTGGGTTTTAAGAATTCAGGCCTCAGACAACAGTGAAAAAGACTCAGTATGTAGGGCTCCAGCACAGGGTGAGTGATGACCTGGTGGGGCCTGGCCTGTTTGTTGTCACCCCAAGGCAGGGCATCCATCCCCAGAGACACCCCACTGCTCCATCATTGTGGTGACTGGTTGCTGTCAGATCAGCCAGCAAGGCAGGGAGGATGCTTAGATTCCCAGTTCATCCATCCAAACGATGAGAGGACCCTGGGGCTGGTCCTGCCCATGATTGTCAGAATGGCTCTTGTGACCCACACATGCAAAGACATTGCCACTGGAGATACTTTCTCCAGTGCCTCTCCAGCACTATGCTCTGTTCCCCACCTCAGCAAGTTGATGCTCACACACTTTTCAGGAGACCCTGGAAAATCACAGCACAGTGGAAATCACACTGAACAGAGTCAGGATAATGAATTTTCTGGGGTCTGCCCCTAATAAGCTATGTGCCGTTAGGGGGATCTCTTCCTTGCTCTTAGCCTCAGTTTCCCCATCTGCACCATGAAGGGATTTGCTGGGAGGGCAATCCTTCTACTACCATCCTCATCTGGCCACATTCTTCCGCAGCTTCCGGAGACGGTGTTCCTTTCCAAGAATAATAAAGTACTGGGGGGAATGAATAGGATTCTAGCCATGTAGCGTGTAGGGAACCAGGTGGCTGGCCCGTTCATTTCTGAACTGCATTAAGTTACTTTCTGACAAATGACCTTTCACTGGCAGAGAGCAGCAGCTGAGCACCAGGGGCAGGAAAGTGTTAATGAACCTCCCCCCAGAATCATCACTGACTCCCTTCTTTCTCCCCAGCAGCCTAATCATCTTCATTGGTGGGATTTTGGCTTCCTTGTACTGTTCTAATTTGAATTGTGTGTGTGAAAATCTACTATCAAAATGCATCTGTAGAGCAGTGCATTAATATTACTGCACCTGCTTTTTGTAGAAAAAGGATTTGTGTATAAGCATATGTACATCTATATGTTTATGTTACACACATATAGAGACTATATACACAGCTATGAGGGTATGTATCAAGCTATAAACAGGGGAGATGGGAGAGCCGCATGTT